GTGTGCACGTTATGCTTTGCCCACTTTCTAAAATCCACATAGCTGGTAAGTGTGCACGTTATGCTTTGCCCACTTTCTAAAATCCACATAAGTGGTAAGTGTGCACGTTATGCTTTGCCCACTTTTCTAAAATCCTGTACGGTAAGAGCTACGTGCAACAGCAAAAAAAAAACACTAATTTGAACAACTGACAAAATAGGTTTTAGTACTAAAATTACTAAAAATAAAACTGAAATAAAAATAAAGCTAAAAAGAAATATTAAAAAACAAAATCTAAATTACAAAAAATTTAAATTAGAATTAAAATAAAAACCTGAAAATATAAAAATAAAACCTAATTCAAAATATTAAAATGATACTAAAACAACACTGCTTTGTGCGTATATATGAGCATAATTTTTAACTTACAGTGTGATAATGCTCTTAGGTGTGAGTCAGGGAGTTATAAACATGCCACAGATGAGAGAGCACCAAAAACATTAATGTTCTGATAATTAGCATCTTACCTCAGCTAATCACAGTTTTAGGCAGATGTACTGCCTGCAGCTTTGACTGCAGGAGCTTTATTGTATTATTAGCATTCCCAAATCCATCACTTTCATGCAAGTTTCTTCAGGATCACGTATCAAATATCAATACTTCGGTTCCCGTGTGAGTCATTCTTTTATAGACTTCATTTCTAGTGCTATTTTTCTTTCTCTGTCAATTCATCAGCGTAGAGACGGCAAGTGCAGAAGCAATAGTGCATCAAACACTGATGTATACGTGACCCTGAGCTATTCCTCCAAACAGAGACACATGACGGCGTATGAGTGTTTCTCACCCACATAACAGCTGTAACTGCTTCTCTGCTCTGATGGAATGCGTGTAAATGTTATTAATCAATCATAATTTTTTCAAACAGCCTTCCCTATGTGAACATTGCATACGCCAACAGAAAAAAAGTGATTGATTGTTCGATTGACCTGCTTAGACTATCTCATACTTCTGTTTAGTTTACATATGTAAAAAAGGTGCTGTTTCTTCATGGTTTGCTATCCAACATGGTTTGTAATTTCATAGTTTCTTACCCACTGATATCATCTGCGTGCACATTCTTGGCGAGTATGTCACCATCGCTACCGTATCCGGTCACGTCCACCTCTGGCCCCGCCTCCGAAATCCCACCTTTCTCTCCCGGCTCTGACCCTCGAACCCCTGAGGCGGCCGCTCTCCTCAGGGGGGCAGTGTATAACAACCTTGAGGGGTCACCATAGCGACCAGTGGTGCCGGCACTGGATCTGGGCGAAGCGTAGATAGGAGCATCACCGGCCTGAAGACGGGGGCTCGACGCTTGGCCGAGACGCCAAGACATTTGGGAGGAGCGGCTTGAGAGGGCAGGGAGGCCACGACCGTTCACTTCTGTAGTTACAGTGGTGTCAAATGTCGTCTCAAGAGTACTACAAAAAAAAAAAAAATAGAGGAAGAGGAAATCAGAGGAGAGAATTTGGGGACAACAGGCGGATTTAGGTAATTAGATCAATATTCTGCTTCCGAAAGAGCTGACTTGCCAGTAATAAATATCCAACACCTGTGCCAAGGTGAGGAGTTTGCTTGACAGTTTGAGGACCATTCTGTACCCTGCAATGCAGCACTGTTTCGAAAGTAAAGTTTAGAGTTTAAAATATCCACCTACTAGCTTGAATATTTGTGCTGACTCAGACTTATATGTTGAATACACAAATATGATTGACAATTGAGCTGATTTGCTACAAAACAACAGTGCCCATGAGCAAAGAATTACACTACTGTTCAAAAGTTTGGGGTCGGTAGGATTTTTGAAATGTTTTTGAAAGAAGTCTCTTATGTTCTCCCAAGTTGCATTTATTTGAGCAAAAAACTAAAAAAAAACTTTTTTTCTATTTGAATATATTTTAAAATGTAATTCATTCATGTGGTGGCAAAGTTGAATTTTCAACAGCCATTACTCCAATCTTCAGTGTCACATGATGCTTCAGAAATCATTCTAATGTACTGATATCAAATCAAAATAACATTTCGTACTATTATCACTTTTGAAAACAGTTGTGCTGCCTACTATTTTTGTGGAAATTGTGTTTTTTGTTCAGGATTCTTTGATGAAAATAAAATTCAAAAGAACAGCATTATTTGAAATAGAAGTCATTCGTAACTATAAAAACTTATATGTATAAAGACATATATAAACATTATATGTATTTAGTCAATTTTGATCAATTTAATGCATCCTTGCTAAGTAAAAGGATTTTTTTCACTTGTAAATTGTAGTACATTGAAGAGCGAATGCAACTGACATAACTAGGAATGCTAATCGATACACAATTATATTGTAATGTTTTTAAACTGTATAACCTACTTTTTATTAAACATATCACTAGATAATGTTACGCATATCACTGGTATGAGACGCCCCTGAGAAATGTAAAGCAGCTATTTAAATGAGATATTTTATATTTGTTAACACATGAACTTAATCCAAAAATAAAATAAAATTATTAAAAAAAAGATAAACTACAAATAAACAAAAAAACACCCATATTCAGAACTATAATAACTATGTTTTTTAACTGACGCATACAGTAGTGTCTTTATAAGATCCTGCCCACAACAGATCCTTGATATGTCTATATTAGACCAAGTTTCTCTCCACAGCAGGTCTTCTATCTGTAGGTTGTGAATGTTCAGCGTGGTGTGAAGGACCCAACTGAAGCAGAAAGATTGCCAATGTGCCTGTATTTGATTGCTGCTCTCCATAAAATGGAAGCTATACTCATCGTGTCATATCTAATCCACTTCAACTAGCGGCAGCCCATCAAAAAGCATGTTAGCGCGGGCACAACTTCAGTTTGACCTCATGACCTTTGTTAAGTGCTCCATCCATGTCTTTGACTGCGTGACTATAAATGTGTGAACTGATGTGTGCATAGGTGTCTCCACACATCACAAGCTTGTTGATGCGGGAACGTGTGAGAAAACAGCATACGGACAGATGCTTAATAATGACACACCCAATATGACTGTCCAGCAACAGCTCTCTCTAGTGGTGAGATAATCACATTACAAGGCTATTTTTAATGTGTGGGCTTCATTTTGAGGCGCGATTCAATAAATATTCAGCATTAAATATAAATACAAATTCATGAATATGAAATAGTCTGTTTAAACAATATCTACAAGCATAAAAAAATCCCCAATAATATGACAGGCAGTTATTTGCATGACGGGACAACAGCAGGGGGTCAAAAATGAGTGTCACTTAACAAAGTTATCAGCACAAAGGCGATGTTGTCATGACTACAGCGCTGGTATATTAATATCCTCACCATCAAAGTCCATTCAGAATGAATCTCATTAGTGGTTTGCTAGCATGTAAGCTGGTTAACAAGGTCCTACGAAAGAAATACATTTTCAAATACTGTGAAAAAGTGAGCTACAGCAGTTGTAGACCAAAAATACATGTATTGAATTGCACTGAACAATCCAAGGGTCTCATTTACAGAAACAGCTTTCGTGCCTATTGTTATTCTGCTGCGCTTGGTATATTTGAAAGGGTGGCCACCAGTGCTAAGTGTGGCTATCAAAGCATGTTCTGTTCGTGTATGAATGCTCTTGTTATGAAATACACCAGAGACTTGTGCCTCAGCAGCAATGGAGGTTGGATAACAAGCCAGTGATGGTCGCACACATGGCTGACCAGTGTTTTTGTGTAGATAGGACACAAACACAAATATTTGAGCAGTAATATTGAATTTTGCAGTCTGAACACAACACAGTTGATTTATGCAATTGGAGTTGTTTATAAAATGGTGCCAAGACAAACAAGAATGAATACACGATTAAACAAGAGAAAAGAAGAAGGGGACTTTGGGTGCACTGTAAAAAAATATTTTTCATGATTTGTAAATAAAAATTACTGTAGTATGTTTTAAGAAAATACTATTTCAGTGTTTCAACAGTACTTAAAAATTTCACTATTAATTCAACGTGTTACTTGCCGTTTCTTTGTTATTATTTGTGAAATTTACTTACAATTTCTGAGTTCGCTCAGTTATGTCATTTTTAATGCAAATATGACATTATTTGACCTAACCCTAACCTAACCCTACCCCTAACCATAGCCCATAACAGACATCTCAGACAATGTCATCTTTGCATTAAAAATTACATAACTGAGCGAATGACACTTAATGACAGTTGTCATAAACATGCATAAAAAACCTTCATATTCATGACATGTGTCATGTCATGATTATGTAGGTGTCATTTCATGATTATGAAGGTGTCATGTCAGTCTTATGCACACCCCTTCAAGTAAAGTGTAACCGAAAATTGTTTCAAAACACCTTTTTTTTTTTCAGTGTAGTACAGACAGAAATAGATTTGATGGAATCATGCAAGAGGCCAAGGATGAATAAAGTTCGTACAGTAACACAGTAATACATATTTAACATTAAGTTATGCATTAGATATCATGAACTAACAATTAACATTTTTTTACAGCACTATTCTGGGCCATTATTTATTCATAAATATACTATTGTTTGTTGTACAGTAAATTCATGTTCATTCATGATACATTAAATAATGTTAATTTACACCAGTGTTGTTATTGTTAACTTAAATGAAAACTTGGTAATTAATAAAATAAAATAAAAAATGATTATAGGAAAAACATAAACATAAATTCCAAAAGTAGCCTTGGCAATTAACTGAAAGCGTATATGTAAGTACTAAAATAACTAAAACTAAAACAAACAACAAAAAGCTAAATAGACATGTTTAAAAAATAATACAAATCATCAAAGCATATGTAATCACTAAAACTAAAATTACAACTGAAAATATTAAAAAGCTAATTCTAAATATTAATAAATGCTATCACAGTACATAAATAATACTAAAAATAACACTGATTTATAGAATTTGAAATATTTTAAAATAAATGAATAAATATGATCAAAGTACTGTTCTTTGTTAGTTCATCACACCTAACTAATGTTAATTAAATTGTATTGTAAAGTGTTATCACACTCAAGAAGCAAAACCTAAGAATATAGAAATACCAACATCATTGATTGGTGCGTATTAACAGGCCTTCAAACTGTGTGAATTTTATTTAGAAGCAAAAATTAGGTCAGGTTTAAAGTCACTGTATTCACTGCCCTCTGGTCACCCAGCATTTCCTAAAAGTGGCTCTGGAACTGTGTAATGTGAGCATCCCTGCAGTACGCTATTACATACTGCTCCCAATAGTGTTAAACAAAGAACCCAGACCGACTAAGCAACAACTTCCCTTTTCGTCTACAAATCAAAGTCAACAGGAAGTGTATGAGCTGAGGTTTATGGCTTGCTAAGAAGATAAATCATGTATCTAGAGTTAGTTAATGTCACTGGATGCAGGACATTTGGGCAAGTTTCTCTGACTAATCTATTGATCACCTGAATCACCCTCTGGCCCAGTCACCAGCGTTTATCTCCCTCTCTGACAGCTGACAGTTCCATTATGTATATTCCTGATGTCTTGTCTTCTCGATAAACACCCGTCTCTTAGCAACATGCTAGTGCTATTGGGAAAGGGTAAGACTGCAGCGTTTTTCTGAATCTGCTATCCTACTCTGCTATCCCTTGAACGGACACACAACAAGGAACACAACAGAACACTTACAGAAGCCATTGGTGGGAAAAGAGCTACAGCTTATTTCAACATCCTATTAGAAAAAATGTTCTACAGGAAGTATTACAGGAAGATAGGGAGGTGCTGATCAGGTACATATGTAATCAATTACAGCTTATGATGGTTTGGAATCTTCTACAGTATATTTGAGATACACATGTACAGTACATATAATGAGACATGAAACAAGCTCTAGATTGATTAATCTGCCAACATTTTAAGATTATAAATATCATGCATGCTTGCCAATTAACACAAGTGGTTCCAATTTTTTTGGGGTCATAATGCATAAATATTTTTGTGAATTTTGATTAAACACTGTAAAATAAGTGTTTAGTTAATTTTAGCAATTTCATTCACATCTTATTTGTCATCACTGAACTGCATTATGTATACAATGGATCTTTTTCTTTTAAATATGGAAATAAATAAAATAATCATTTTTAAAGTTATGGGGTACAATAAAGAAGAAATGTATTTGTAGTAGACTGTTGAAGATAATATATATTTTGCAATACAAATGAATTATAACAAAATTTTAAACAATTAGTAATTAATAATAAATGTAATAATTAAAAAATACAAATATTTAACTTAAGCTGCCTATATAGTAACTACTTACAATGAGTCAACAGTTGATAAATCCCCTTGAGATTCTTGACTAAGTCTAGAGGGATTTTCTTTGAGATGCTGTCTTGACCTTGAAGAATTATTTTTTCTATAACAATCAATACAATATTTAAGCTCTGAGAACCTTCAAAATATGAAAACAGGCTCAGATCAATAGAGCTTTGTGGTGTTCCCAACATAGCAGTGAATAGGTGTGGGCCCTAGGACACTTACACTCTATACTCTTTCAGAAAATATACCATATGGTATGTTTGGAGATGAATGGAAGTCAACTTTAAAAGCTCCTGCGAGACTCCAACGTATGTATGATGGAATTCACATAGTGAGCCAATGTCTCAGGAAACCACAGGTCAACTTCCTGACAACCAAACAGTGTCACAAAGGTGAGAAATGGAGCTCTACCGTACAATTAAAAGAGTCCTGGCTGGATCGCTATCTTCTTTCCATCTGTGCAACCCTGTCATATGTTATAAAACACATTCTACTGAATTAGTCTGTTTAGTTTGTCACAGTGAAGAATAGTTTTTCCTTATCTTCATTCATTGTGAGCAGAGCCTGACAGCTATGTGTCAACAATATATATCTGACCATTATGAACTCCAAGGGATGGAGTTTTTTAAATCATGGGCTCTTTACTGGTTAGCTTTATGGCGAGGGGGTGTGAGGAAGTGTCTAACACCTTTTTGGCTCCTTTGAGATGCAATGTGCTATGAAAAAAACAAAAAGGCCAAGCATTGATTTCCAAAGAAGATGCTCCCCGTGTGGGAAAGAGAGAGAGAGAGGGCCAACACCATCTGTCCTGTCAGAGCGCTGCCTCTGAACCACTTTTCTGTGAAATTATGTTCACATTGTGAGTGAGATAAAGAGAGAGGTGCTGAAATAGGCCATTCCAGAGCCGGACAAATGTGGTTACGCTTCTGCATTTTCTGCAGTAATTGGGTGTTTGGGAATTTGGGTTGATTAACTCAACAAAAATGAGGCCATTTTTCATTTCACAATGGGATTGGTGAGAGACTTTGTTAGCAAAGATGTTGGCACAGTGAGGGTTTGCATTGTTTGTGTGTGCCAAACTGAGCTCTGTCTTTAAAAAAAATGTAATTGGCAAAAGAGACCTAATTTTTCGAAAGTGCAGCTGTCACTGTTTTGGAGCTAATTAACTTTATTTTCATGATGTCTTACTCAACTACTATATATATCTTTGCGGATAAGGCAATCATGCTTGTTTACCAGCTTCACTACCTATAGTCCATCAGATAAACTAGAACTAAACCAGCATTAACTTGCTTGGAAATTTGTCTTTGCTGTTTTTTCTCCCCCTCTGTGCATTCCAATGACCCAACACTCACCTGTGGCTAATCTGTGTCCCACGTAAACTAGACATGGTTTCTTCGAGATTCTGTCTCAGGTCGGCAATGTTCTTCACCGTACGCATCCGTCTAGTTTCTGGATCCTCTCCTGGTGGACAGAGAGAAGAAAACATTGGTTACTGACCCTGTTAAAGGCGCCAAGTCACTTGTAATAAATAGTCTGTAAGGCAGAATAGACTCGGCATATGAACCAGTCAAACATGTTGCGGCCAGCGGTTAGTGAGCGGAGGGTGTCTGCTCTTGCATGTCAACTCAGATGCTGAAGTTACAGCTGATGGGATAAAGGGACAGATTTCACAGTCATCATTTTTCTGTGAAGCACAGAGTAATCCATGCGCTATGACACCACTTCTTAATCCCTAAGCCTGGCTCAAAGTTTGGCTGGAGCACGATTTGCTTATAAAGCAGAAATAGGTCATATTTAAATAGACTTAGTCATTTTACTGCACTTATTTTCATATGTTCCTTGTTTTCTGAACAAAAGCAGAGAAAACTCTGTATGAACTCATAATGGTGGGGATATTGATTCATCAACATAATTTTTTTTGGATCTGTTCCTCCATAAAGATTAATTTAGATTAATTCGGTGAACCTTTTCTGCAGGTTACAGCATTATTGTTAGTGACTAATGAGTGCCTTTTTGTGTGAGTCATTGAGTCATTCACTCAACTGATTCATTTAAAAATCTACTTTGAGATGCAAAGTAGACTCCAGAAATGCTGTTTCCCCACAAATGACAACAAAGTATATCTGTCTTTTTTCTCCATTCTCAATTATATAATAAAATAAATAAATATAAGAAATTAATTAATTAATATAAATTGCAAAAACATTTACAAAGCCAGAAAAAAGACATCAAATGCAATAATGTGCTTTACAAAGCAAGAAACTTGATTTGAATATGATTTGTTCACTTAAAAGAGTTGTTCATGAAAACAACACTAGAACACAGGCTCTGGATCTGCAGAGGTTCAGTTAAGTGCTTTCTTTCCACTGCATTAAACTCACTGCACAAAGACACTCATAGAAACACTCATACAGACTGATGATGGCAGTAGGAGGTCTAACAGCAGGTTTGCAGGGTTCTCACATCCCATCAGAGAACTACTTATTTGATCCAATCACATCTGGCCTTACAGACTCCCCCTGACTATAAAATACCATGCCAATGGCATGAGCTATGATGTAAAACACTAATTAATTGATAGAAAAATAAACTATCATGTAGTATATTAGTGCACTGATCTTAAGTGTGTTGCTTGTGTGTTGCAGTGAAACTGTCCTATGTGGCCATTTAAAATGAGCATTACATCAAAACTGATCATATTTACTTTCACAATACACATTAATTTTTACAAATTTTAAATGTGACCGTTAAACATTTTAATGATATAGATAGAAGTCTTTAGCAAAAGCAAAAAAAAGAGAGAAATATAAAAGATGATTCCTTTTATAAATGGGTTTTGAGGCTGTTATATATTATTATCAGACACAATTTGCACTGGATGCATTATTATATTCAAAAACCGTTTTAGATGGCTAAACTGCAATCTAAAGAAGTAAAGTTCATGGTATAAAACAGTATAAGATGTATGTTTTCATATGTATATAGAGCATTTTGTACAAAATTGTATTCCTCACAGCAGATGATTTAATTTGTTACAAAACAGACTGCAGCAGCGAGTAACGTAAATGACTTTAGCGACATAAGATCTCCTAAATGACTTTTTCAGCTACCATGCCAAAATCCTCTTTGAAAGGTCACATCTGAATGCTGGATACAAACAAACGATACAAGCTTCTGACTCAGATATTTGAAAATCAAGAGGGCTCTGGGTGGCATAATGTGCACTTGTTGCCCTCTGGGTGAGCAGATACATTTCTGCAAGCACCACTTGAGCCTGTCAGCAGCAAAGGAGGGCATAAGGACACACCGCTGGCTCTGTCTGATCAGATGGTAGCTGATAGTTTGCACTGATTTAACCTCATTGTGGCAGTGTGAAAACTAACCTCAGAGTCTACAGCCTCAAACCAGAATCTGTGTCGAATGCATTGTGAGGTTTGTGTTTTGCATAATTGAAAGACATCGTCAAAATAGTCCATCTGCCATCAGTGGTTCAATCTGAATTTTATGAAGCGACGAGAATACTTTTTGTACGCAAAGAAAACAAAAAAACATGTTGTTCTAAACCCATAAAAGCTTAGTTCGTCTTCGGAACACAACTTAAGATATTTTGGATGAAAACCGGGAGGCTTGTGACTGTCCCATTGACTTCCAAGTAAATAACACTGTCAAGGTCCAGAAAAGTATGAAAGACATCGTCAAAATAATCCATCTGCCATCATTGGTTCAATCTGAATTTTATGAAGCAGCGAGAATACTTTTTGTACGCAAAGAAAACAAAAATACCGACTTTATTCAACAAAAGCATACGCAGTTTGTGTTCAGTGGATACTCTCCAAAATGGCGCTACGGTGATGCGGAGGAGATGAATTGTTGAATAAAGTCGTTATTTTTGTTTTCTTTGCGTACAAAAAGTGTTCTCGTCGTTTCATGAAATTCAGATTGAACCACTGATGGCAGATGGGCTATTTTTACTATGTCTTTCATACTTTTCTGGGCCTTGACAGTGTAATTTACTTGGAAGTCAATGGGGCAGTCACAAGCCTCCTGGTTTTCATCCAAAATATCTTAAATTGTGTTCTGAAGATGAACAAAGCTTTTACGGGTTTGGAACGACAGGGGGGTAAGTGATTAATGACAAAATTTTAATTTTGGGGTGAAGTAACCCTTTAAGCATAGAAATCTGAACAAACCCCTAATTTTGAAGAGATTACCCAAAACTGAGAGTTCACCAAAAACTGAAATTTTGTCAATTACTCACCCTCATGTCATTCCAAACTTGTATGCACTTCTCTCTTATCTGAGAATATTCTGAAAAATGCTGGAGTCTAAGCAACATCAGACCCTACTGACTCTCACTGTATTGCCAAAAAGCACTGGATTTCTCTCAAAACATCTTCATTTGTGTTTCACAGAAGATATAATGCATAAAGGGTTGGAATGACATGAGGGTGAGTAAGTGATTTTCAGACAGAATGTTGATTTTTAGGTGACCTATCCCTTTAAGCATTAGCAATAGTTATAGTGACCACTAAAAGAATATGTAATAGCATTTAAAACATTTCATTAGCTAACTAAAATGCTGTGTTGAAGAATGCTGCTATAAGACTTAACTACAGAGAACTGAATTACTTGGATGAGGTGGTGGGCTTGTGAACAAATAGCCCCGTGGTTGAAGGTTAACACTAGATGAACTAGGAATAAAAGCATGGATCACACCGACGGGAGGGTAAATAGAGCTATTGATCAGAGCAGCAGACAGCATGGCAGCACCTCAATAGCCGGCAGGTGAATCTGGCTTCTAAATGTTCTCCTATAGCACAATTAGAGAACCATAATTCAACCAGACATCCCCCAGAACCGTTTCTAATGCAGTTACACACACACTCGAAACCAGAGTTCAAGGATAAAAATGATCATGACAACAGCAAGGCACAATCAAAGACTCTTACAGTATGCTACTGATGAGTTTGAGTGACACTTACGGTGTGTCTGTGGTTTTAAAACCTGCTCCAGGTCTCCCAACATAGTGAGTATAACCTCTTTATCCAGATGTGCCTGATCCTCCCTGGCACTCTCAAGCTCCCAGTCTCCTCCAGTGCCCGCCGGACATGCCCGGGGGTCCTCATCCGATTTTCTACAGCTGCCCGCTTTCTCCACCAGCTCGGGCTGCTGGTGCTGATGTGCAGGTGCCATCCGGTTGGACTTACAACCCCAGGGCACAGGTATAAGGGAGTGTTTGGATTGGGAAAGCACCTTGGTGAGGGACAGCGAGAGTGACCGAGCTCGGGTGCTGCTGTTGGGATGTCTACGGGCGCTACCTCGGCCATGTTGGGGCGAGGGCGATGAAGACGATGTCCCTGAGACTGACGAAGGTGGGCACGGTGGTTCATCCAAGTCAAAGGCATAAACCCTCTGCTCCCCATCACTAAGCAGCACGAGATTGCCAAGAGAACGTTGCTTGCGGAGGTTTAAGTTGTCCGGGAGAGGCTGCGGTGACTTGCAAGGCGGGCTGCCGCCCTGGAACACAGAAAACTCGGCTCCTCGCTTCATATTTTCTCACGTTCTTTAGGATCCCTCAACACTTTTTCTTCCTTATCTTGAAGTTAGTTCCTCCTCACATGATCTGCGAGTCTCAGGTGGCTGCTGGCACACGCTCTCTGTCGCAAAGCTGCCCCTTGCACCAAGGAGCTTCAAATATCGTCCTGCCCACACACACGCTTGCTCTCCACAGCCAATAATCAGCATCCAGGTGCATGCACTGAGAGCATACTCCTCCTGTCTTCCTCCTCTCTTTCTCTTCTAACACTTCTTTCCTTGAATGCAGCACGGAGGCTCGTGGGAAGCAGATCTGCACCAGATTACGGTTAAATTGTTATACACGTCCTTCACAGCATTTCTCCCTCTTCCAGTTTCTCTTTCAGCGACCGAAGACTCTTCACACACTCTGTCTATTAATTACCGGCTGGAGCGAGCGCATGTGGTTCGCTCCAAGGGACAGCGGCAGAGACTGAGTGTGTGTGTGCAGATGCAAGGGTTCGCCTGCTCCTTTTAACATGCTGTGAGCTGCTTCATTCTCTTTATCTATCTCCCTCTTTCTTCTCTCTGTTTCTCTGTGCAGCAATGATGGCTGGTTTCCTGTTGCTGTTAGCTACTGATTCAGCACACACCTTCACAGCAAAACAGGTATTTGTGTGTGTGTGTGTGTGTGTGTGTGTGTGTGAGAGAGAGAGAGAGAGAGAGAGAGAGGTGTGAATAATGTAAGACAAAACTGGCTTGTAACACTGTGATCTCTCCTCAGACTCTCTTCATACTGGAGAAGGGTGTTAAGATGATACATTTGGAAATGCTGCAGCACACAGCTTGACTATCAAGGAAATTATGCAAAAAAGCAAAATTATGATATATAATGTATAATATAATATATCCCAAAATGAGGATTTTTAACCTTTACAGATCAGGATTTCAATCAAAACAGGGACCCCCAATATAAAAATCTAGATTTTAACATTTGAGACGAGAACAAATATTAGTATCATGATATTGCATTTAAAAACACAGGCACAAATGACTATATTATATCTATATTATATGTTATGTTAATATTATATTATATTATATTATAATGTTTTTTTTCATTCACTGACTCCAGACAATCTATTGACAAAATTTCTTGTGTAATATTTCAGAATTAAACATATATATTTTTTTTTTTGTAAAAATCCCAACACTGAGCTAATAGGGTACACATAATAGAGATGGTTACCCTAACCAGATTCCAGAAAATTCAGCAAATAAATGTAAAAACTTTTAGCAACACCACCCAACCAACCAGCCTTCTAAATGTGCAAAAACAGAACAGGTGCATGCAGAGATTTTGTTTTTGTACTTGCATGGAGTGGAACCTATTTTACAACCGGGCGGAACCCACAATGCACTTCAACAGGAAGTGAGTTCTGAGGTTAACATCTATAAGTAGTCCATGTGAGGGTTTCCCTGACCGCATCACTGGCCAAACCACAGCATTTCAAACATGGCCAGATGTAGGAAAAGCCTGTAGACATGCTACCCAAGAGGAAACATTTCTCTGATGTTCCTATTTCACAGGAAAAAGAAGAATCATCTCAAAAGTTTCTTTTAAAATAAAAACACACAAATTAAGGCAGTTGTTGGATCTGAAAAATCTGAGATTTTTGTAAGCCTCCATTTGATTTCCATTCAATCCCACCGCTGCCTACAATAGGTGACTACTGAGATAATAAAGCAATATCTCAATTGTGATTTTTACTGCTATGGTACAATTAATACTTTCTATGCATATTAATCTGAAAATTTTGATTGCTTATATCTAACATGCTTAATCTGTATAAATTGCATAGAAAGACTAACAATCTTGAATAACTGGATAAACTTTAGAGTTCCAATCTAGATCTACCACTTAGAATGTCTATTCATTTTATTTACTTTTTTTCATTTGTTTTCAGCAGCTCAAGGTACAATAACAATGTTATGCTTTCCTAACTCTCATCAGCCATAAACTGTCCCCAAACTCTCCCAATGCAATGCAAAACATACAACAAATGTCTGACCATGAGTCATAATGTTATTGCTGCTTCTAGATCCACTTGCAAACAACAATGTCCCTCATCTTCAAAATGACCACAGCAGGGCTGCATTCTCACTGACGTGCAAACACTGACCGCTTTGTGCTTATGTTCGTGTCTGCAGTTTATTCACTTTAATTTGACATTCCAGGCATTTTTGTGCAAGCTGGAACACTAATTTATATCTCATTAAATAAGAGTTGGCTGGTTTGAGGAACGATTTTCCAGTCGAGTTTGTTTTGAGCTGTATTAGATAGTTAATTACGAACAAAATGTATTAAAGTAACAACAGGGAACCTCAGGGATACACACAAGATGATCAGATCCCAACCTGATTAAAACTATTATTAATGAAATAAACCAAGAGGGATATAACAACAGTGGCTGTGCTGATAAATATGCACACAGGAAATGAACAACTAGGAATGCATGTCATAGTGCACCCTCCATTTGGGCACAATTTGCATTTATTTCTCACAGTTGCTCGCCGACTGGTTGTTAAGAGATGTGTGCGAGCAGCACCTGAGCCCCAGGCAACTATCTTCAGCTATCAGCTGTCACATCACAGTCCCACACACAGAGAAATACACACAAGCACAAATAAACAGCACATTCTGCAGCCTGGCCTCCCAAACAAGGTCGGCCTTTGTCCACCTGTCATATCTGACCTTTTCTTGCTGCGATAGCAACATGGAACTAGTGGCCTGCAGAGAGAATCTGTGCCTGTGTTTTGGCTTCTGTGTGTGTGTCTGTATGTGTTGGGCTTGTGTCGCTCTCTTATGTCTGACTGTGTGTAGGTATGCGTGTGCACATATGGCAGTACTCATCCTACTGTACCTGAGATCTCCTCCAGGCACTGTTTGGCGGTCTTGCTGTAGACTAGGTCTTTTGTGGGACTGAGATATGGTTCAGGGGGGAACACAGTTGTGCAGTCGTTCTCTGAATATGTCCTGAGTGAAGCAAAAGGGAAAAAATACTTAGCATTTTACACAGAGTAGATTTTTTTTGCATGCATACAGTCAACATTAATTTTGCATTAGATCAACCCAAGTTCCTTTTATTTTAAAAGAAAGCACTCCTAAAACAAACAAACAAATACACAAACAAAAAATTAATAAAAAAGTATCTATGCACTTTTAATTTTAGTAACATTGATATACTATTATAGATTTTTATTATATTTTGAACTAGATTCTATTTTTTATATTTTCTGTTTCCATTTTAAATTTTGTTAGTTTTAGTAATTTTGTTGTGTGTTTTTGTTATTTTTATTAGATTTTGTTATATGCCTGTACAGTTTTTTTATTAAGTTTTAGTTTTTAGTTTATTTAGTTATGTTAGTATTTCAATTTAAACAAAGCAAAAATTATATATATATATATATATATATATATATATATTTTGTGTATAAATTATATATGTATATAGATGTAAAAAGGTTAAACTATTATAATATATAAAATAGTTTATTACATATTATTATTATTATTATTATTACTGAATTAAATATAATTATTTATAACTAACTACCACTAAAAATATAATTGTGTAATTTTAAAATTAATGCTAGGTACTATAGACTAACCATACTACTACAGACTAACCCTAAAAGAAAATAAAAGCATTTTAACTATGGAATAAGTCATAGATTAGTGACTTTATGTAGCGGTTTTCCTTATAGGGTTTTATAGGTTTGACAATAGGTTTGTCATTGTGAGGACACCTGTTCCCCAAAAATATACCAAAACCTGGAAAACACTTGCAAACACAATGCTGTTCAGAAAAACTGGGTATATGCATAACAACCACACCTACAACAAGGTCATCCCAGGACACCTGCACTCGCCCAGATAAACATTCCCTCTCTCTCCCTCTCACACACACAGTCACACACATGCAATTCACCAGCCAAATATTTCAGTGGCATGTCACACTGGTAGTTTCACCATGTGTTCCACACTCATGCCATTGAGACATTGCATTACCTGTGAAAACAAATACTCACACACACACGCACACACACACACACACACACTCATAATTCACACAAACTCTGCCTGTAAATAAGCAAATGATGCAGAAAGCAAGAGGGCTTAAACTGTCAGGTAACTTCAGGGCTTGTTGAGCTGAATGAACTCATTAAATTATGAAACTGCATAAAACAAAACAGACGTATTCAACAGAAGGTCAACTAAAAACACACGTTATGGGCAGTAGACACGTTGTTTAGTCTTTTTTAATATAGTTTTCAAGCAACATCACTGAAGCTGAGAGTGTTGATGTGAGGAGGGGCAGTGGACGGGTGGTCAACCCACTGTTTTCATGCCAGTGGAAGAAAAATACAAAAGCTCTCTTCCAAACCCACGTGAGCTACCCACCTAGACAGCATTTTTAGGAATCATCACTCCCAACATAAAGGCTCAAACAGCAGGCTGCAAAATTAGACTGCTTTATCTTTGGTGGCAGTATATACTAGGATAAGTAAATCCTACAAAAAAATATTATATTGTATTTAATACAGAAAAATACTGAATAGCCTGATAAATCTGTGTGCTGTATTTTTGTGCCCATTTATTTAATGTAATAAATAAATACATAAATAAACCTAATTTTTTAAAATTGTAGTACAGAAATGAAAATGATCTCAAGCTGACATCTTGCATTTTATTATTGTTGTTGTTTATTTATTTTTGCTCTCTTGGAAGTTTGCTTCTTATGAAGACAGCAGACAACATGGTAGAAAATATACATTTTTATTTAAATAGTGGCAATGGTAAACACTACTATTGCAATTAATTAATTAATTCATTTGTAATTTTTTTGTATGCTTACTTTTATTCAGCAAAGACACATTAAATTGGTCAATGCCAGTAAATACCTTTATAATATCACAAAAGATGAGCTGCTGAAAATTAAGCTTTGCAATCACAGGAATAAATTACATTCTAAAATATATTCAAATAGAAAAAGGGTAATTTAAATCACAATATTGTTATTTCTACTCTATTTTTAATAAATTATGTGCAGCCTTGATAAGAGACTTCTTTCAAAAACATAAAAAATTCTTACCGACCCAAAACCTTCGAACAGTAGTGAATATATAATTAAAATTAAACAATTATACAAAAATACAGTTCTGAGGCTGGTAATGCAACATCCTCAACTCACTTGCCCTTGTCAAGCATGCCAAAAGGTTTGACCCTAGGTGTAGTTCTAGGAGCATGATAACCATGTCGTCTCGCACACCCGTTGAGTGCTGTCGCAGCCCTGCCGGTTTTAAAGTGTCAAGCAAAGCTCTCGAGAGGAAGATCTGCAGTGGTGGAGAGGAGTGTGATAAGGGCTCCAGTTTAAAATTCCATAAAGACTTTAGGTTATAATCCTTATGAGACGGCACCGAGAATGCCAAACACAGCTTTAAGAAAATGCCATCGTCTTCCTGTGAATAATGAACCTGTGGCAGGCCGGTAAGGAGGTAAGTGTGTTTTTATGAGAACTGTTAAACTCTTAAGGTTCAGTTTGTGCAGATATGTCAAGGGTTACTGGGTTTGAGAGCTCTATTTTCAAGCAAAGGATTAAACCAGCTACTGAACATACACAATCACTCAAGGACAAAACCCTTTGACTCATTTTCAACACTCTCATCTTCGTCTTTTATGTCATTTTTTTTTGTCTATCACAGGCCCATTAGCACTCGCTGTCTCTTTAATAAGCTGACTCAAACTGTTATGAATGCCCTCTGCCCATCAATCACATATTCTCTTTTCTGATCCCACGTCCTCTTCCTCCACTATAACCTATCTATTCACCCTCATCAGTCTCTTGGTGAGGACTGAGGGAGGCCACGCCCCTTAAACGAGGCGGTCTGGCAAACAGCTCAGCGGTTCCCACTTGGGCTAATAATACTGTCAAGATGAGACATTTACCCGCTGCTTTTTATTACAAAGCATTGCGTGATTGGATAGGTGATACAAGGGACAGATGATCAGTGGGTGTGTGTTTGTGCATCTAAAAGCTGGTTTGATAATCTATAGATAGATTGCTGGTTCAACATATATTTGCCTGTAATTAACGATGCTTCATGATGCTCTGCCAGTCTCTGTGTGTAAGCAGGGTCTCACTTCGCCTGGTCAAAGAAGGACTCTTGTCTAGACAGTCTATACTGAAAAGGATCAATTCTGTTAACATCACCCCCCACAGTCAGATTTAACAAGACATCCTCCAAATTTCCCGTTCTGCCTTCAAAGTGACAGCAGAGTGAAGAAATTATTGATTCGAAAATGACTGAAACCCGGGTTGCCTGCATAGAAACATCACTGTGCAACATGTCGGAGCATGTGCACTTCCCACCAGGCCACCTCTAAAACATTAATTTCTTTCTAGATCTATCATGCAGAAATGACTTTCCACTTATAAACAAAATGTATATTTTTTTCCTGTATTATTTATGGTGTATCTTTATGATTAGTGATTATGAATTGTTACATTTGGTTACACCCGCTACATTTGGTATCAGAGATTATTTAAGGTATCTGCCTGGTTAGTGGTGTGCAGAATAAGTAAAAGATGAGGTAATTATTCTGGACCTCCTGGGGATGAGGGTTTCATCTTTGCCTGTCTATTGAGGGTAATTACAGAGACATGGTCCTGCTGTCTCATGGATAATGATTTCACAACCCAGAATAGAACCCAGGAACCCAGATCTGTCTGTTTGTCTGAGTCTTGCCCTTTTAAGTCTCTAAGCGTCATTGGACATATAGACCCCAGTAGCCCTGCTAGGACTAGAAGTCAGCTGGGTCTATGATGAGGACATAGCAAGGTTGAAGAATGACCAGCTGGCATCTGAGGGATTTCTGTCCAAAAACTTTAGCTCAGAAATAATTTTATCCAAAGGGACGAAGTACACGGATGACAAGGAAAGCCCACCCGCCATTAATTATCTTGCTAGGGCGCAATGATAAATGTTAAGCAACAGAAGTGGGATCTAACGTACTTTTCTGTGATTGAACATGACAGATCCAGATCTGTAATCATTAAGCTGCAACCCACAACTTCAGCAACCATCATTCACAATATGCAAAGCAAGATATCTGAAAATGCAACAATCATATGCATTTGCATTTAAGAATCACTCACCGATACATGAAGGGGGCGACAGTTGCCGTGTTGGGATGGTTGTGTTGTTGCTGCTGGGGAAGTTGTACTGTCCCATTACCTCCTAAAGCTCCTCCACCACCCAGTCCAGATGTGGCGGATCCAGAAAGTGCTGAGGTACTGGTTGATGACACCATGCTGGTCTTCCGATTCTCATATCCTCCCAAAGATCTCTGCATATATATAGACTGACCACCTTTACTAAGTTTGGTTTTCTCACCACCTGTAGCAGGTACACTAGTTGCAGGTACACTGGATTGGCTTGCTGCAGGCTTGGCGGTTGCTGTTGGAGCCTTCAGACCAGGCTTGGGGATGCTGCTGGAGGCAGGGATTGCACTTTCTTTCTTCACAGAGGCTGCAGAAGTTTTGCTTCCTTTGGGGATGAGGCTGGCAATCTTGGAGCCTTTCTTAGAGGGCTCCACTATCACTGGCTCCTCCTTGGGTGGCGTGCTTGCTTTGCTCTTGGTCTTGTTCTTGTCCTCTTTGTCTTTGGGCTGTGGCAAGGACTTACTGTTGTGGTTCTTGCAGTTGTTGGTCTTGTTTGGGGGTGCAGAGGAGGATGCGGGGGACTTCCCCTGCTGTTTTGAGATCCCGCAGGGTGGTGTGGGACTGCAGGTCCCCTCATCTCCAAACTCCGACAAGTCGTCCTCCTCCTGGAGAGCCATTTCAGCCACTGAGGGTGAGGTTCTGGATGCGGATCTAGGGTTGATGAGCCGGAATTTCTCCAACATGGAGCGCTGGTTTCCGGGGGCTGATTTGGAGGAGTCTGTGATTGGGGGCCGGAGGCGATCGGATGACGAGGGAGGGGATGGGGAAGCGGTTGGGCTGGGTGGCTTGGTGGCCAGCATAGACGAGGTGGCACTGTGCTTCATGTTCATGGATTTGCTTCGCCAGGTCTTTGCAGCAGTGGGAGAGGGGATGGCAGAGGCCAGCTGCTGCCCGCTGGTGCTGGAGGGCACCGAGCCACTGCCGTTCATGCTGCCTGGCAGAGGAATGCCCTTCACCGACTCTATGTCAGAGAAACAGACCAAACAGTGGACACATATGTTAGACTGATATAACTACACCCTAGAAGCAATACAAACTTTGTATTTGGCAAGGAGGAAAATTATGACTACCACAATAATCAAATATTAGCATAAGTGGAAAGATATTGTGGGAAGGCAAAGCGTCCCACAAACACATGAGGAATAGATAGTGCTCAATCCAAATCTTTACTCTGCAATCCCAACGCATACTCAAATCCCAAGCAATGCGGCGATGCACTCAGGCAGAAAATTGGATCCTAAGTTGATTTTGTGGGATTTCAAATACTTTGTTGTTGCCAGATACCCTCTTGTTCTTTGTAAATGCAGTGACATTTTGTGAGAAATCAACACGGCTCACATGATAACATATATAAACATACTTAATCCAATATAAGTAGATCATTTTAATGTGGGGGAAACATAGATTTATCAAGCCTTTGAGAGCATGACAATGCAGAAATCCTTTAAATTACAACTTGTCTGGGCCTTGACTATCAGTCCAGTGACGACAACTTCCAATTGCTAAGCTCAGGGCCGAGACTCAAAATGCTTTACAATTGTAGTGTATATAAATTGAATTGCTTTGACTAGGTCTCAGTGGATTATACATTACTGACAAAAAAGTTATGTATGATATTGTTTTGAGTACCTTGTAAATACAATGCATATGAATACAGTAATCAAACAGTACCATGGTACATACCAAAATACCATGGTACTACTATCTAATTTCACCAATGTACCATGGCATTGTCTCCAGTACTTCTTTGTAAGGGGAATGCTAATGCTCAGAATGTTTTACAGTTTAAGGGCGAATCTCATGCAACTAGCATAATCTTTTATTTTTATTTAAAATAAAATTCTAAAAATAAATAAACAAATCTGCAATGTGACATTATAATTTCATATAATAATTTCTGCTCTAATTCTAATTACTATAATATAAAAAATTGGTATATTGCAGTAATGCGAATTTAATGAGAATCCAAACTGAGAATTATGAAAATTCAAAAAAAAAAAAAAAGAAAAAAAAAAAAAAACATTCAGACACAATAAGGCAATGTGAATTTGAGTCATAAATGTGTTTAACTGTAATAAAAAATAATGTCAAAAGGAAAGAAAGTGAAAAATAATCATTTACACTAAAGACAGACAGACAGACAGACAGACAGATAAAATATACATGAGGACATAAGTTACACATCAATGCTTCTGCTGCCGTGCAACATAACAAAATACAAGTAAATCTACTTAATCTTACAGCAACTCAGGCTGCCCGTAACTTGAAAAATTCTAAACACAAAGGAAGAGAGGAATAGATGGGACTTCATTTGGTTCCATTGAAAATCTAGTAGAGTGAATAGTGATTGGACTGTGAATGAGCGCTACGTGGATCCGGCTTCAGTGCATGTGTCAGCTAAATTAACCCCGTCTTTGGAGATAATAGCAGCTTAAATAACAGCCTCTCTCACACACATACACACACCAGACCATCGAAACACGGTTACCATAGCTACCCTTTTCTCCACACCACTTTATATGTTGAAAGTGAAATACCACTTTGTTCTGGGAAGTCTGATAGGATGCCACACACATTTCAAAACAAACACATTAACAGGTGTGATGACAAACATGGCATTGAAGATTTTCCATCTTAATCCACCCTTGTCTAATCCAGAATGGACTGCATTAGTCATTTTCTTTGCCTCTGGCTCTCATTGTTATCTCTTCTGCCCAGTTCTGATATATCTCTCCCATCTTCGTCACAGGTGCTACTGTATGAAGCTATGCCAAAAGTTCAATGAATGTACCAAACAACACTGATTTCCTTCAAACTAATCCAGGAATTGGACACAGTGCTTTTGAAAGCCTCCTGGACTGAGCTAATGCTAGCAAACATGCTGATTCACTCCAGCAGCCTGTGTGAATGGTGAAATTAGCTTTGTTATACAAGACTATTTAACATGCAAATGTTTGTGCTCACTACCTTGGCACAGGGCTTATAAACAGTGTGAGATTTGCGTCCACAGAGAGGCTTTGTGCTGAAATACGTAGGTGATGGTAACACAGGGTGCTGACAGATTTGAGGTTAAGGATTAAATCAGTTAAAGGTCAAACTCAGGATTATGAAATTTGTATTCAAGCCTGCCATAAAATGAAAGACTACATGCTAACTCTGTTCCAAAACCTAGTGAGCTGCCTAGTGGGCTACAAAGGCAGCATCCTTACTGTCATGAAACTCCAAAAGTGACTGATTTTGAACATTCTGTGTAGGCAGCATGAAGCACAAATGAGACTCAATTCACAATTTAGATATTAGCATGTGGCTAAGCTAACAAAGTTGATACAATAATTAAAGAACCGTGAACATGTGAATGTGTTGTTAAATTATTGAAATATTTACTTCAAAAAATATTCTAGGTCAAAGGAATTTGGCTGACAAAAATGTGTAAATCCCTGATCTATTTAAACAGGGACAGCCTGAAATCTAAATAACTGTTGTTAGAAATTATGCTTTAACAGCACGTTTCAAATCATGAATAAAATTCTACAACAATCGTATCATGAAAATTGGTGATTTGAAAACAAACAGGTGATTTGCTCTTTTAACTGTACGGCGGGACTTCTATTCCTACAGCTAACATTTTGGATGTTTAACTGTCTCTTTTAACTGTAAAGTGCAACAAAAGTCATGATTGCAGAAATGCATTCTGGGATAGCCTCTCCTATGAAGGATACAGAACATGTGATACTGCCTTAATGTGCAATCACATTTATTGTTGTTTTTGTAGGCAAAATTCAGTCACTTTGGTAGAAATCCACACAATGTTCAATGTTGAACGAGGGCGATGGATTTCTTCCTGCAGATTTGGCAATGGGTTCAAGTTGGTCACAGATTAACCATGTCGACCAACAGAAAGATGATTGGTTTGAAAGCTACTCATGTGTGAATTTTGCTTCATACATCGCTACACCATCAACAATATACAACTGACCTGTTTTGCCTGCAAAATTTCACTGTGATCGCACCTTTCGAATTTGGCCAAAACATTGTATCTCACACAAAATAATTTTTCTGCCTACTGCTTGGAACAGCTTTTGTGTCAACTGAACACCTACGATGCCTTGAAATGCTAGGTAGGCAGCTCACTAGGTTTTGGAACAGAGCTCTATTCTCTCCCTACCAGCCCCTCCCATAGTTTCTCCAGTGCGGCAGACGTTTTGGACAGAGGAAAACGGAAGATGAGGGAAAAAAGGCAGATGGGAGTTTGCTTTTCTCATCTGTGGAAGTATTAGCGCAGTAGCCCTGTAAATCAAGGTTTTGAGTAATGTTAGGCCCGATGGAAAAGGGCAGGAATAGGTTTCGAGAGAGACGTTGCATATTAGGACTCTCTGATTCATCAAAGCTCCCGTCTGCCATGTGAGACCCTCTGTCTGGCTTTGTGTGTACTGTCTTGCCCTCTCCATAACCAGTGTCTGGGAACACCAGCATCTGTGCTAAAGTCCGGTATAAATCTAACTGGGCAGTACAGCCAAAACAAACAGTCTGGGAGGGAAATCGGTTACGTTTTGTTCACTGATCGCCACGGATCCTTGCTGTGAGGGGTGAACCAGGGGAGAAATACGGGTCACACGTCTGTGAACTCCCAACCCGACTTCAATCGACACACTCCATCAGGTCTAGTGCAGATTTATGAAGTAACCAACTTCAAACCTGTGGAGATTTACACACTGGTGGCTAAATAGCCATGTGGTTTTATGAAGTCAACTTTGAATGATGGTTCGGCTCTGACAGGAAGATGAAATCTGAAGTGAACTCTGAATAGGCTGGCTCTGACAGGAAGATGAAATCTGAAGTGAACTCTGAATAGGCTGGTTATGTGGAAGAAGTAGAAATATAACATGAACGTCATCTCCAAATATATTGGAGGAGGACAGTGAAAGCCGATGGCAGATCACCGTTTCAGATGTGAATAACACACCAGAGAGGAACCACAGTGCAATATTATACTTTAATTTCCCAGGAAATTGTGTTTTTCCACAGATTTATGTCATTATGAAAATGTAATAATAAATGCATGAGGGAACCACCTCAGAGCATCCTGCCCTGTGCCACAGCGCTATTGTTCCTGTGATAGTGGCACCATCTAGTGGATAACAGGATATAGTTGTTGCTGTTTCATTTGAGTAATATGCAGACACCTTGATTTAAACATTAAGATTCTGTTTATTGCTCACCTCTGTCGTTGCCGCTAGCATATTGCAGTGGTTTGCTCTTGTCAATACTGTTGAAGCTCTGGCTCCTTCGGTTCAGGTTTGAGGATCCGTGGGCTTTACTACTGCTACTGCCGCTGCCTGCAGCGGGGACTTTGGAGAGACCTGGTAACCTGTAACACACAACACACATACTCATTAGTTTGGGTTTCAATCACAGGACTTTATTAGATATGAACTGTGCGAGCTTACATTATATCTCTGATAGACACACATACAGACCACCTGGGTTATTATAGTTAACTAAAACTAAAACCATAAAAATCATATATATTCAAATATCAAATATTATACAGAAATATAAAAACCTAAAAATAAAAATGACAAAATTCAACAAAATTACTAAAACTAAAAGAAAATATAAAACTAAAAACATTTAAAATATTAATAAAAAACTATGGAGTATCTAATAATTCATTAATCTATTCATTCATTCATTACTTCCTTCTGTGGACACATTTGACCTTACAGAAAGGAGCAATGTGAAATTGTATTTATTTATGTACTTATTGATTTATTTATTTACTTAAGAATTTATTCTTCATCAGCTGTAAAGACATTAAATATTGTGAATATTTACTTAAAATAGAGGGTAGTCATATATATTCAGCTTGGAAAATTAGAGCTCTGGTAATGCCTTTTGACAGAAAACACACTCACTTGTTCGACAGTGAAACATACAAGCCAATACATGAATAACATTTAACATAATGATTTGACTAGTGTCTTCTAAAACAGCTAATTTTTCAAAATGACAACACAATAGACATCTCTTAATTGCTCTAAAATCTGCAATAAATCTTGCCTGAAGTGTGTGTGTGTGTGTTTCTTTGCATTGTCTTATGCTGTATTCATAATATTGATGATTTAATTGTGAACAAAGCTTGTTAATGACTCACGAGTGCCAGTTTTTAATTGGTAAGCATGACCTTGTGACACATCAGCCTAACAACGGCTCATAAACATGTTGCGGGGGAACAAAACAGCAGCAAGTTAACATTCTTTGACATTGACTCTGTTTCTTACAGCTGATTCAATTTCACACCAAACAGAGTTGTTTCACCTTACTCCAATCTGATTATGCCAATAGCCAATTGATTTTAACAAATCAAACTGATGATCTAATAAAGACCTAGTTATATTTTATATATCTGAAATTCCCATCATCATTTGAAATTCTCATCACTGATCAAATGTTTTGAAAAGTCTTATCACACAGAATCAGAGCAAATAGCTTTCCGAGAAATGATGGATTTGAGAACGATGATTCAGGCAGTTCAGGTGCATGTCTCATCAAGCCTCTAATGACACTGCTTCATCACTCGCTTATTTCTCATCAGGCACTTCTGCTTTTCCCCATTAACCTGTTGTGCAGACCACCATAATATGCAAGCTCTGATAAAGCATATCTGATGATTTTTCTCAAACAGGTTATTTTGGTGAAAATTGGGATGGATATCAGTGTCTCAATTGAGGTCGGGGTCTGAATGGAAGTCATTTAGACGTTAGACGTTTTAGTTTTAGCAGGCCCACACAGAATCTGTGTTCTTAGAGAGTGCTGCAGAATCCTGCTGCGCTTTGTGTGTTTGTTTATTAAATATTCTGACTAATTTCATCATGCTTTTATCTATCAGTAAGACTGCGTTACTCTCAGCTGAATGTAACACATTTTATCATGTTAAAATCTGCAGAATTCTGCAGATTTTTCCGCTAAATTTACAGTGAAAACATCAAAAGTGAGCAGATTCAGTTTGGTCTGGTTCAAAGATGCAGGCAACATCTGACATCAGCATTTATTAGACATTTGGTTTTCTAATTTGGTCTTGAAATGTTCCTTACACTATGATTTGCATAAATATGTATCATGTATACATTCACAAACACAAATATGCCTGTAGAGGATACATTTAGTGCTTACCAGGCATCTGAAGACAGAGAACGTTGCTAAAATAGACCTGAATTAAAGCTGTGGTGTATAATTTTTTTCTGTGCTAAAAGACTTTATTCTACCCCGACTTATATTCAGAGACAAGTATGACATTTATAGGTTGATTTGCCTGAAAAATCCATGACACTTTCAAAGCATTGCTCTTTTTGAGCATCCCAACCAAGCCGACACAGCAACACACTGGCTCAACCAATGGCATGAGTTGGGGGTGGGACTATATGTTAATTTGACCAATAAAAGGGAAGCAGAAATACTTGAAATGTTCTTTTTTTTTACCGTTTGTTTGATGACACTGGTGGCACAGACATATATTCTGCTTTAAAGTCTGAATCTGAGGTGGTCAGCTCCAAGACCAGGTCTTTGGATCTGTTCTTGTTTATTTTAGGGTAATAATTAAAGTGTCAATGGGGCTCAGATGAAAACCGGAGTTCAACTGTGAAACATCTCAACTTTTGAATAATCACTGAATTTTAATAACGCTTCACATCTTATCCAATCTGTGTCCTGCATGCATAAAAAGGCCTTATGGAAGACAAAATCTTTCAAATTATGCCTATTAAAATGTAGAGCAGGATGTTTAAGGATCAAATAAGACTGCTTCTGTCATCTCTTCTTTCCAATTGAAGTAGACTGAATATAACTGACAGTTTTGGATTCTAGAGGACATCTAATATTATGCATTATTATCTATCCTGCTTTCCTTCTTAAGAAACAAGATTAAAGGTTATTACAATGTTCTATCTAACCAAAATTACTGCACAATAATTATGTGTTGAATTGATCAATTAGGCCTCAGACATAGAGTTTCGTATGCATATCTCTGAAGAAACAAACAGGAGTGTGTATTTTTTTTGTGTAAATGTATATGTGTATTAGTGGCCTTTGAAGCCTCATGTCAATTCAATTTAATGAGAAATAAATACATGATATTGCTGAAATTAAATGAACACTAATTAAAAAACTGATTTATTCATAAATGATAAAATTGAATAGAACCCACCATCCTATCACTGGAATATATTAAATATTAATTAACTATAATTAAAAACGTGTCTTAAATTCCTTAATTAGTGATCATTCATTTGTGAACCCACAGCCATCCAAGCATCAAAGCCATTACTCCAGTCTTCAGTGTCGCATGATCCTTCAGAAATCATTCTAATCTGCTGATTTGGTGCACAATAAACATTTCTTATTATTATCAATGTTGAAAACAGTTTTGCTGTCTTTTTAGGATTCTTTGATGAATTCTAAGAGTTCAAAAGAGCTACATTTTTTTTTGTAACATTATAAATGTCTTTAATTTCACTTTCAGTCAAGTTAATGCCTCCTTGCTGAATAAAGGTTTTAATTTCTGAACTGACCCCAACTTTTGAATGGCAGTGTATAGTGAAGTCATCTGGGAGAAAAAAGTGTCTAAAAAAAATGCCATTAACAATTCATCAATTTTTACGGTTTACTCTGAAGATTTTTGATATAAGATTTATCTGTTTTCTGGTGCCTCTAACCCAGGCATTCTCACTTGCAACCACCAATAAATCTAATTTCTGATCCGATTTCCAAAAAAGTTATGGCCAGTTGTGCAGCCCACTGATAATATTAGGTGTGAACGCCTCTCTGCATCTTTATGCTGCATCTAAACATCTACATAATAAAGTATACATTACATCTGAACTTAGGATGAGACCAGAGTCTAGTATGAAAAAACAATTCAGGTCACTGACCAAATGAATGTCTACTCCTAACATTTGTATATCAGTGCTTTGAGAGAAGAGCCCAGATCTCAGATACTTCAAAGAAAACTGCAGGCACATGTTGTCTTTGAGCAAATAATGCTGTCTGTCGAACCCTACCCATCAGGCTGTCAGTGGAGTAAGCACTATATCATACATAGTGTCCATCACATATCTCACATAGTTTGGCCAGGGGCTGCTTGAAATGCTTTGCCAGCACAAAGCTTCCCACCAGCTCTGAGATGAAGCAAATGCTTTCAGGGCCAAACAACTGCTGCCTGGAGCTTGAAACGGCAAAAACCTCAGAAATAAACCGCATTCAAGATCTAGGTTTCATCCAGCACTTTCTGCATCCGTTCATCTTGAATCAACCAAGCTATTCAGTTCAAAACCCTCAGAAAAGCTCCAGAAAGATTTTTGAAATGTGAAAAAGCCAGACTAAAGTTGAATTTGAAAGTTGAACGGACACCATCAGCAAGCATTTCTATCATATACCACTTCCATCACCCAGATCTGTTGCTACAGCTTTTAACATAAGTAGATTGGCTTTCCCAGTCTCTAGCCTGAAGGTCTGCGGAGAGTTTCAGGTCGCAGAACAGAGCGAGAGCAGGCAGATACAGTTGAAGACTCTACCTTGTGTTTTTCTTCTGAGGGGCTGCTATTCCACTGTGACCTGGTGGACTTGTATATCGTGCGGTGAGACTGTAAAGAGGTAGTGGGAGAGAATGAGAGAGAAACGGGAGAGAAACAGAGGGAGGGAGAGAGAGAGGAATGAGGTTAATGATTGGATATAATTTTTTTTTCAAACTGTGGCATCTTTCTCTCTAATGCAATAAGGGCGGCACTTAGCGAGGGCTTGGCGCACACATGCAAACACAAACAGCATGGCCTCTGTGCGCGCCTACTCAGATTCACATGACATGTCACTCGTCTCAAACCACAAGTATGTGCATTTCCTCCAACTGTCCTGCTGTTCTAAGCCAAATCACAATCTTCATAAACCTGTACCTTAAAAAATGTGTTTGTATGAATACAGTGAGAGCTTTATTCTCAATACTGGTGAATCATTGATCGGTTTAGATTGGCCTCCACAACAACATATAACTCAAAGAAAGAAATCCCATTTGACAGAGAAGATATTCATGTTGCTCCAGTCACAATATTTAAAAAAAATAGACTTATCCACACACCCTCTTTCACACACACACACACACACACACACACACACACACACCTCTTTCAGGAATATTTTACTTGAAACCTGTATATACTGTGGCCACTGTTTATACTGTTTTCTGTATATATGTATAAATAAATACATAATTATGCACTGTTCAAAAGTTTGGGTGAGTAAGATTTTGCATATATATTATACATTTACTGAGCAAGGATGCAGTACATTGATCAAAAGTGACAGCAAAGGCTTTCAGATTTTAAAGGTATTTTTACATATTCGCTTGAACTTTCTATCCATCAAAGAATCCTGAAAAAAAAGTATCAGAAATTAGTGCATTAATATAGAATTCAATACAATATTATATATATATATATATATATATAGTTTAAATTGCTAAAATATAACTTAATTAAAAATCAAACTAACTAAACTATCGGTTCTTGCTACAATTTATAGTAATATTTTCATGATTTCTCAGAGGTCTGGTTTCAAGTATAATTCGCTTGAATTGGTGCTTCATATAACATTATCTAGAGTAATAAGTGTGAATGATAAATCCCCTGTGATGTTTGTACTGGCTACTGTATACAGACCACCAGGGCACCATTCAGACTTTATCAAAGAATTTGCTGATTTTCGTTAGTGCTGGCTGTAGATAAAGCCTCAATTGTTGGTGATTTTAAAATCCATGTTGTTAATGAAAAAGATGCATTGGGATCAGCATTTATAGACATTCTGCACTCTATTGGGGTTAGACAACACATGTCAGGACCTACTCATTGTCATAATCATACTTTAAATTATAATTTAATACTATTACATGGAATTGATGTCAATGGCGTTAAAATTCTGCAGCAGAGTGATTATATCTCAGATCATTATCTAGTCTTGTGTTTACTCCGTATAGCTAAAGCTGCAAACTCAACTCCTTGTTACGAATATGGTAGAACCATCATTTCTACAACAAAATACTGCTTTGTAAATAATCTTCTTGACTTGTCTCAATTCCTCAGCAAATCCAATAGCTCAGAAAAACTTGATGGTATAACAGAAACTATGGACTCTCTCTTTTCTAGCACTTTAGATACGGTTGCTCCTTTATGCTTAAAGAAGATTAAGATTAAAACAGTCCGACACCGTGGTATAACAAGCACATTTGCGCCCTAAAGAGAGCAGCCCGGAAAATGGAGAGCAGCTGGAAGAAAACAAAACTAGAGGTATTTCACATTGCATGGAGGGAAAGTACTTCTACTTACAGAAAAGCTCTGAAATGACTAGATCAGCTTACTTTTTGTCTCTTTTAGAAGAAAACAAACACAACCCCAGGCATTTATTCAATACAGTGGGTAAATTAATGAAAAATAAAAGCATCAACAGGCACAGACATTTCCCAAAAGCACAGCAGTAATGACTTTATGAACTTCTTTACTTCCAAGATCGATACTATTAGAGATTCTAACCATGCAGCCATCAGCTGAAGTATCGCATCAGATAGTCCACTATAGATCCCCAGAGGAACAATTTCACTCATTCTCTGCTATAAGAGAGGAAGAATTGTATAAACTTGTCAAATCATCAACAACATGTATGTTAGACCCTATTCCAGCTAAGCTACAAAAGAGGTGCTTCCAGAAGTCATAGATCCTCTTCTGAATATTATTAATTTGCCATTGTCATTAGGATATGTCCAACAATCCTTCAAAGACTGCACCAACTAGACGGCCATCGAGACAAGACCACGGGAACCCGATAAGTCCTCTGCACAATCTGACCTGTGTTGCAGCCTGGAATTAAACCACACCATGCTGGTTTCGTCTGGCCAGAGGAGAACTGGCCCCCCGACTGAGCATGGTTTCTCCCAAGGTTTGTTTCTCCATTTCTGTCACCGATAGAGTTTTGGTTCCTTGTCACTGTCGCATTTGGCTTGCTTAGTTGGGGACGCTTCATTTCTGGCAATATTGTCCGCTTGATTGCATAGACACTTATTGGAAGAGAGATGAACTAGATGATGACATCACTGAATCTTCAATGAACTGACTTGAACTGAAAAATTGTTTGAAAAAGTTTGTTATTGTCCTCTTGCATTATTATAACTATTTTGCAGTTTGACACTGTAAATCTGTATTGTATAAAGCTCTATATAAATAAAGGTGACTTGACTATATCAGCTATTTAATGGCTTCAAAAGTAGTTCAATCAGATTTTAGAACTGAAAAAAAAACAAAAACAATTACATACCTTATATTATGAAAGATATGCATTGTGTATGTTTTAAAGGTTTAACCATGAATATATAAGTAGCATATGTAGAATACCTACAATTACTGTGAAAATACATACTGTAATGTACAAGACATTAGATATGCTACCTTCAAGTGAAGTCTTATCCATTTAGCTTATATGTTTGGCCATTAGTACCATAGATGTGACATGTAAAGTTCATGTAAAGCCTGGAGGCTGGAGTGGCTTTCCTGCAACACTTGATGCATTACTGTAATAAACTTCATGCAAACATGTTTTATAGCTGTTTAGGTGAAAGTTCTAGAGGTTTCTGAACTGATCTCTGTAAGGGCAGAGATGACCCTTGCCTGAGGCTGGGATGAATGAGTGCAATTTGTCAGATCGAATATATATGCTGGATGGAGGCCCTGCCAGTAGGACTTGTACTTACAACACACACACACACACACACACACACACAGACACACACACACACACACACATAAAACAAAGCACAAGCACCCCAGGCCAAAGCACAAAACACAGAACAGTTGGCTATACAGGTCTCAAATCTCTTTCTCTCAAGCCACTGATGGCTGATTGACACTGGCTTTGTTCATTTTGGGTGTGCGCTTGTGTTTGTCTATGTTTAGATATGCTGTGCTAAGCTGTTAATGTGCCTTGACAAGCTTTATAGCAGGTTTGTAAGCACTGCGTGATGGAACGAGAATGTCTGTGGATGGATGGAAGTTGATTAAAGTCAAAGTATGAGAGAGAATGAGAAAAAGGGGATGTCCAGTTTTAAATGGTTCAACAGTTACAGTAGGAAGACCTCCATCTAAACTGCATCTAGGTGGTATTACCATCTGCCATGCTGGAAAACAACAGCTCATTTGAGCTTAAGATCATAAATAATATTTGTTGCTAATCTAAAGTGGTCTACCACCAACAATCAGCCTGACCAAGATGGTTTACAAGGTCAAAACCAAGTCTAACAGATGGAAATCAAGCTGATCAACCATCTACATCATCTTGGAGCAGCTAAAGATCATGAATGACCAGCTTAGACCAGCAGAAAACCATGTAACACTTGACGCAACAGTCATTTGATTTATGTTTCTTTGGTGTTCCATGCTAGATAACCCCAACCACATTGAAATTCAAATATATTCTGATTGGCTATGATTGTGTAATGTGACATCTAGTTAGGACATAAGATAAAACAAGCATCCATCTGAATTCCAACCAACAAGATTCTTCCAAAAATGTCCTTCCAAAAGCTGCCCATAGTGAAAGAGAGGTGGGTGTGTATCCTCAGAAGGAGATCATTATGACCACCATGAACGTTTTACTTTAACAAGTTTCTACGGCAAGTGCGTGACAAGGAGCTGGCTTATAATTACAGACTCCCTCAGGTGAAACCCGGAGGTGTAACAAAGACTTCACCAGACTGGGAGAACGAGAGGAAGACAGTAAAATAGGGAGGCAAGACAGCAGGTTAACAAGCATTATAACCAAAGACAGCTCCAGCGAGACACTAACACTGTCTTTCACTCTCTCATTCACTCTCTCTCATTAGAATGTGATCATGTCCACATGATTAATGAGGCCCATCGTTTCTCCTCCAGCTCAAAGAGGAACTCAGCTGGGACAGGATGGTTGAAAAAAAAAAACCACCCCTAACTCTACAACTTTCTTTCATTTCCCCTCACAGTCTAGCAGCATAAATGTATGACAGTGGTAGGTCTGACAATCTCAAGAATAAATTTGTTGCCATGGGACATTTAGGCACACTTCACAGTGAGAAATCACACACAGAATAACTCCGCCAAGGTCACTATTCAGAACATATTAAAATTAATCTAAACAATAAGGTTTAGTAAGGATTGCAAACTCACTCACTACAGTTTCTCTAATAGAAATAAATAAATCTCAAGATTAGCCTACCTGCTCAATCTAAAAACATCAAAATGATAAGGATGCGAATGAAATGTACTTAAAAAAAACTGTAACAAACTGCAAAAATGTACACAACAATGTAAACTGCATTTGTAACATTAGCATTGTGACTAATCAGTGTCTGTTCTGAAAATACCTTAATTGCATTATAATATACAGTAAAGTACATTTGCTAATTATTAGTTTCTTATCTTTATCTTAGATTAAGTGTCATATGTGCTATGTAATGTGCATGTGAGTGTACACACACACACACACAGACACACACACACACACACACACACACACAATCTTACCTTTAAAATGAAAAATCTTTTCTTTAGCAGTACTTCACAAGTTCTGTTGCAATAATACTGTAATACTGTATGACTTCCCACAGCAAAA